ATTGAAGCCAAAAAAAATTGTTTAAAACTTTAACTTCTATGTGTTGTAGAAAGAGTTGTTTCAATTTTTTTCCTAAAGTACAAAAATTAATATTTGAGGAGTCTTATAAATTAGGAAATTTAGGAACACAAGATCAAACATTAATGGATGGCATTCAAATAGAACCAAAGAAAAGAGCAACTACATTTATTAGAAAATCAGTTCCTAGAACTACTCATAATAGGCTTATAATGGTTATGTATAATCTACAAGTTAATGTAAATTGTTAAATGAATGCAAAAAAATGTTTTAAAATTAATATGGAATAGGGCGTGGAAGATTAGATGTAATCATAAATAAAGAAAAAATTCTATACAGGAATTTCTCCTATTGGAGGATGACAAGGGTCAACAGGGAAAAACGCAACTGGCCTAGACCTATTCAATATATGACACATACCTTTGAATTAAATTATTTAGGCTCAGGTGCTTCTAGTGTGAAGCTCCTTCAGGTTTTTCATTGTTCTTTTCATCATTATGCTATATATTTTACTTATTGTGCTCCCTAGTACAGATTGTAAATATTAATTTAAATAAACGAAAAAAGAAAAAAAAACTAGCGTTCCATTTTCGAAATATGATGATTGACCAGATTAAATTTATGAGCTATTGTACGTCTTTGTACTTTTTAATTTTATCTGTAAAGATTATTTTTCTAGGATTCTAAACCAAATAACTGAATCAAATTCGAGCTCAGATCTGTACTATATATTGGCCAAATTGTCAGACTTAATTAGTTGTTGACAACATTATCAATGTATGGAGCTTATGGGTCGCCGGGATGGGCTGTCGAATTTTATATTTATTTAACCCCTTCATGCATGAGATAATAATTTAGGCAAAAAAATTGTTTATTACGAACATGTGAAATGGTGCTGATTGATATAATGAATACTATTCTAATTATGATAATTTTAATGATAAAACGACAATATGGAACGTGTTGTAACGTAAGATGGATAGATCTATATTCCGATATTTGAAGCTCATAATAATATAAGCGACGAGTCTATCATGGTTGAGATGTGTTATATACATATTATACTCGTCGCATATTTATATTATTAATAACTGCATTCTCCCTAGGAATTCATGAGTGATAACTAGTGATACAAGTATACATATGTAACAAGTATACTCATTTTTCAAAGCACATGTCTAAAAATATATTATTATTTGGTTACGACTTAACGACAAGCATCGGGTTTATTTGTTGTTGTTATTGTTGCGAGATGCCGGCATGCCGCCTGAGCGCCAAGCCGCATCGATAGATGATCATAGTGACATAGTCTATTGACGGGAATACGCCATGTTATTATATAATCATTAAATTTGTTCGTATATAATTTATTAATGTCATCTGCTCACTGACCATTCACAAAGTCACGACTCACCACTGTTTATAAATTTATTGTCGCATAAAGTTGTCAAGATTATTGTGTTTTATTATTTATCCATCTTGTAGGGCAATATTGCTGTACCAAGGAGACGAAGTTAATTAAAAGGTATGTAATTTATTTAATTAATAGTATTACATAATGGATACTTGTATGTTATTATAACTACCAAAAAACTGCAGTATGCTACATTTTTGGGATAACGTAAACACGGTCATAACAATATATAACATATTAAAATACTTAACAATTATGATCATCAATATACATTAAATACATTTTAGTTAAATAAATATTATTATTAATCAGTATGTAAAAATGGAAAACACCCGTACATTTTTTTGACAGGTAGGTATAGCTTTTTACGATAGGTAGCATGCTACAAGAGTACCATTATTAGGTATACAAATACAATAATTTAATACTGTATCTTCTAATTTTAAGTAATATTAGCAATACTCCAATAGTTTGCATTTATTTATCAGAAGGTACGTGAGCATTTAATGATTTTTAATATTAATAACATATATAAGAACTAAAAATAATAACTAATATTAAGATAATTATAATTGTTGAATTATGGAACGTGTATATTTCAAAATGCTCTTTTTTCTCTCAAAATATTGAAAGATGAGTCCTTCATAAAAATAATATAAAACATGTAGTAATATTAATTTCAAGTAGGTATTACCTATACTAATTCCAAATTATGTCGAGTATTACTGCTACTTTGTACATGTACAAATACAAATGTACCTAACATTCGTACAAAGTTTGTTTTTAAAATACATTTATAATACTTTTTTCCTGATAAATTATATAATTTATTATTTTATGTAATATGTTATTATTATTTATTATATATCCGCGGTCCATTTATAAATTGGTATTTGAGACATGCAGACGTTCTAACCCGTTCGTCTGACAATTCACGTTCGGCTCTTCGGTCGTCGCAGAATATTATTGGCGTGTTGTGATTCCAGATATTCAAGAAATCAGCAACGACTGGCTCGACGATTCTAAGGAGTTCTCGCGCACGATGATACATTGGTGAAGTCGACCGTCGACGAGTGATTTCGTGCTGGCGGTCGACCAACGCGGGATCCGGTGCCAAACCTAATGGGTCGGTAAATGAACAATATTCCCTGGAACGAACTCACGTCTTGTGTGACCGGGAGTTAACGGAAGAAAAATTTCGAGGGTGAGGGTGAGGTTTGAAAAAATGTAAAATGTGAAATGTTCATTAATAGCATTGTAAAAAAAAAAAAATCTTAGATCAATATATTTTTATTTTTAATCGTTAATTATTTTTTATAATCTTTTAGACAGCGAGTAGAAAACCCCAAAAACGGTTCCTTCAAATTTTTTCCAAAGCATAGTTTTAATAACTAAGTTGAGCTGCTTGGGACTTAAATACTGTTTCTGTAGAATACTAAATGGTCACGTGACATAAGTAAAGAATTAGAAAATTAAAAATGTCTATGTGAAACGGATACATTCTTCGGTTCGGTTAGAATTTAAATGTCATTTCTGGAAATAAACTCCAATGTTTAGCATACCATTAAATCTCACTCGACGGTCAAATGTTACGATTTGAATACCGAAGTGAGATGATGCTTATCCAAATTTTTAAACGATTCAAATTTTTCAAAATTGAGATTGGGCCAAATAATACCTACATTTTATACATAATCTAACCCACTAACAATTTAATTAAATACTCATAGTATTTATGAATTCCAAATATTCCAATATTACAAATAAAAACGTAGAATAATCTATAATAATATATGTTGACTAATTTATCTTAATACATAATTTAAAATTAAACACATATACATTAACAAAAATTGTTACGTGATAATTTCCAAAGCTTAATCTGGAATTCTGTTTTTAATATTATCCATAACAGAGTTGTGTAACGGCATTTGCGTTCATTTCCGTTATAAAAATAATTATTGAATCTCATTTAATCAAACAACAGAATCCAAAAGATTTTCGAAATCTAGGTAAAAATAAAACGTCATTAAACGATGGAAAAATCATTTTCCGGCTAACATGAGTTGCATGTCGAGTTTCATGTTGAAATTAGTTAGAAACGAATTTGTTTATAGTATGACGTAGATGATTTATACCAGAGTATGCTATTGACCATTGGTTATTAGGACAAAAATCCAGGTAAAAAAATAAATCACTTCTTAAGGTAAACTGCTTAAAATTGTGGAAATTAATACGATTAAGTAATTAATACGAATTAGTACGATGTCGTATTTGCAACACTGCACCAACAACCGTTGAATAAATCGCGTACGAGTCGCAATGCGGTGTGATAACGTGAAAAAAAAAATTTAATCCTTGGCGTTAAAAATGTTAAAAGTGGTGCGCTTGCGGCACGGGCACGTTTCTGGCACTCCATGGGGCAACATGCTGTTGCAACTGTAGAAAAAAATGTGCTCCGTAGCATTTTCGTCTCGCGTATCACGCATTGCCCACTACGTTGAATCTCGACACATTTTCTCCTTCTATATTTAGCGCGCGCGATTAACACGAATCGACCCGATTAAAATTAGAATTCAAGCGGTGTCGTCGCCGTCAGTTCAATGCGAACACACTGTTCGTATGTGGAACATAGGATCGCATCACGGTACAGATGAGAGAAATGCCCGGTCGAATTTCGATTTTAAAACGACTTCACGATGGTGCACGACGATTCCCGGTCGTACTATGCAACGACGCGACATAATTTCGATTCGCACGGGAGGCGGATTAATATTCATAATAATATTATTACTAAAACGTGTATTTATTAAATTTATATATAAAAAAAAAAAAATGTAAGATTTTATTATGTTTACAGGTATTTTTCATATTTCAGTTAATACAATTAGCGGTAACGCACTTAAAACGTATAATAAAGTTATACTTATAATAAAGTCCGCTTGCAACCTCCGCATCATTCACCGTACAAGCACCACTGTTCACTTTTCGTGAACGTTTCGCGAACTTAGCAGCGCCAACTTCACATTTTCTCAAACGCGTAATACAAACACACCACTCTCAGCACCGGTGTTCCGTGTAATGTGATATAACGAGTTATTTCGATTAAAATACATCAAATGACGTTTCACACGTTTCATAATCAATGGGTAGCTACAAGGCCGTATCTGAGGGGGTCCAGGGTGTCGGGATCCCCCCCCCCTCCGAAATTTTTTCAATATTTCACGAACGTTTAAAATATTTATTTCTTTTTAATACCAACATAAATATTGCACCTTAATCATTAACTCCTTTTAATTTTATATCATAATATCATATGAAAATATGATATTAATTTTAATAAAAGAAGATTTAATCTTTTTCTGTCTTATTTTTAACTAAATGTCAAAAGTTGCAATCTAAATTCAATAAAATTACAATATACATGTTTTGGACCCCTACTGAAAAAAATGTCTAGATACGACCTTGGGTGGCTACTTACCTTGATTGTTGTTCCGTGTGATCGGAAAATATCATACCGTCTTAAGTGTAATTATCCGGACAACGTGAAATGGGTAAACTCAAATTAAAAAAAAACAAAACGCTACGTAGGTATATTGTTCTCTAAACACATTACATATTGTTGCGTACAATATCGTACTCCTTACCCTGTGCGATTTGATTTCGAACAATACACGTATCGCGATTGGAAATCTAATAATCATAATAAACGCGAGCAACATAACCAGATTTTGTTCGTGATTCGATATAACATCGTAATATTAATAATAATACTCATCAATATTTCCAAGAAAATATGAATTACTAGTATAATATAAATACGAACAAAATATTATAGACGAGCAAGTACACCTCTGTGATACAGATTCTCTATGTGCGTTTCATTAAATCACATTAGATCGTAGCCTTTAGATCTCTTGAATTTTCTTCTGATGTTCCTTGGTATTATTCTTATATCTGCAAACATTGAAATAATTGTATTTTCTAGAAATCTGTTCGACCAAAACGATTTGATATCATATACAACATTTTTAAATAACTTACATATTTTTTTTAGAAACGATCTCTATAGAAAATCGAAATTAACCCAACCGCTTGTTTAGACAATAATATGGTGTGTAAATAAAATGTAGTTACAATTTTTTTTACGTACTTTTTTCGTTTTCTTCACGACAACAGCACAAACAGGACGCGACGAAAACACCAAAAACGAGGAAGATGACGAGTATCGTCACGTAAAAAATGTACGATGGAACTTCTCTCTAAAACCAAAAAAAATCGTATTAACTACAAAAATTGTGACGATAGAGGCAGACGTAAGATCACTGGTATAACGATCGTTTATAAAAACCAATGACCATCATTATACATCATTATACTAGTACACCAGGACGTCACATTGCGATATTATGATTTTGATGCCATATTACTTTATGTCACTTAAAATATTGATAAAAGTCGTATTGACCATGAGGTGATATTTTTATTATTTTTTTCTTCCTCTCGTTTGGCTTAAATATCCCCGCATATACAGTGTACACATTTCATACACTGCCCGATTTCGTAATTTAAGTACGAGTTTGTTGGTGTTGGAACGGTGTTGAACTATTGAGAAAGACTATCACGAAAGATATAATAAATATTAACAATAATATTTGTTACAATTGACGTGATGTCGACAACGGTCTGTTAACGTTTAAGATTCGAGAATAAACAATTTGGGAATCGTCATAACCACGTTGTTATTAAATGAATTATTAATATTACGTATTCTCCGAGTATTCGATACATTTCGAATCAAATGAATAACAAAATTTCAGATTTCAAAAGTTCGTAAAAATAATATTGTTTTAGCAAAAACTTAAAACTCAACGATTTAACTTAACAAGAATTCTCTGTTTGTTTCAACTCGAGCTTTGCCGTTATTTTCACTGATGAATGTTTCTATTCGCGCGTTTTCTTTGTTCGTACACATTTTACCCGTGTATGTTTTACGAACAAACGTAACGGTGGCAATCACTCACCCACAGCCAGACTTTGATTTACGCAAGTGCAGATGGATCACTTGCATTTGGCCCCCATTTTCTGCACCCCCCTCCCCCCCTTCCCGGTCAACGTAAGTTGTATAAAATTGTATTTTTAAATTAATACCAACACTGTCAATGTTCAGAGTTCAGTATATTTTTATCATTAAATTGTCAGTTGAATTTTGGTTATTTTTGTCATTCTACATCCCAGTTCTAATCAGTTACCATCAAAAAATATTAAAATAATAATAATAGAAAATTGTTTGAACATTGAAAATATTTGATACCTAATAATTATTTATAGATTTATTCGAGCCCAATATTTACAGATTTACTCGTCTTTGGTGAAGCTATGAGTATTTTGTTCACACAATTACCATTTTTAGAACCACTGGTTATATATTTCATTCGATTTTGAAATTTTATAAGATTTGAGATAGTTATTTAACACTTTTAACATATATTTTTTTTATTATAAACATTCCCCCCCTCTATGTAGATTTTTTTGACTTGGGGGGGGAGCCCAAAAAAAATTGTGCACGTGGCCCTAATTTTATTAAATCAGGATCTGCTCACAGCTCGTCTTATGAACGTATTGCTTAACAAACACAACGAAACATACGAATACAATACCATGTAACATCCGCTGGCGAACGGGTGCGGGCACTTCAGGCACTTATTCGACCCGGCGACCGGCTGGTGAAAACCTTTTGGACACTTCAAGCAGTCAGCCGACACGTTGGCGCTGTAATGGTGAGGTGGACACGCGCCGCAGAACACCTCCCGGATGCCGAATCCCGGCGCACAGGCGACGAAAGTTTTCACCTTGGTACGCCCGCGGTCCGACTCGAAATGAGTGTCGATCAGCGAGAACTTGGACACGACTGCGATGCGAACAGAACGACGTTGGAACACACATTTAATACGTACACGTTATTCGGTACACGGCAGCGTTTTCACTTACTTTCGACCGTCAGCGTTTTGTTCAGGTTCGCGGCCAACACTTTCAGTATTCTAGCCAACGCTTGTTGGTAACACAGCGCGTTCCGGCCTCTCCTGCTGGTTCTGATCCTGTTCAGGAAACCGGCTTTTTCGTTGAACGTTACCAGTAGTTTGATTTCCAGCGTTTTCTGTGCGGCGTGAACAAAAAAAAAAAAAAAAAATAGAACGAAAACAGCGCGTAAAAATAACGTATGACGAACGGCTGGAGGGAAAAAATAAAAAACATGGAACGGAATAGCGCAGTGTTTCTCAACATTTTTCAAACTTCCTAAGAAGCAAAATATTTTTCAACGCCTTTCATTGAAATAAAAATAAAAATATTATACGTGAAATGTTTATAATTGAATAATAAATAATATATACGAGTATGTAAATGTGTATACTCGTATAATAAAAATAAAATATAAAGTGTATGTTTAAATATAATTTTAAAGGATAATTTAAATGTTTTGAAAGGTATTGATCAGTGAGATGGTTATGCTTAGTGACGCAAAGCCAATTTTTTCACGTTTTGTTCAAAGTTTGTGAAATGAAGGCGTAAGTGTCTCCTCTTTTGACGATGTCGAGTCGATTAATTTCTTTCGTTATTAGATAATGACTCACTGCCTTTGGCAGATATACTCGTATGTCTTCATAATCACGAATTTATTTTAGAAATCGATAAACGGGATACAATTACAGATAAATCTTGGTGCGTTGCTTTGAACGGAAAAAATGTTCATCACCCCCTTATCGCCCAAAAATAGCTTACCGCCCCTCGGTACTCCTTCATCACCCACCGGGGGGATATCGTCCCCGTGGAAAAGCACTGGAATAGCGAAACACGATCAGTAAAGCTGTGCTGCACGAGTGTGTCGTTCGAAAATACCGTGTGGGGGTGCAAACGTCACCTGGTCTTCGGCGCATTTCGGCGGTTCGATGACGATGTTGCACGCGTAACGGGTCGAGCCCTCGGGACACAGTTCCGCGCGCACAAAGTTGGGCAGCTGCTTTCGCACGGGCTCGACGTTTTCGCGTGTGCACACGCTGCTGCTGCTGGTCTTGTAAACCGCGGTGCCACGGATCTCGTAGACGGGGTTGCTGACGGCTAGATGGGGGCGTACACAATAAAATATACATACGACGTTCACTCGCGCGGGAGAAGTCTCGATTTCCGTGAACGAAATACACACGATGCCGCCGATACATTCGCCGTACGGGCAGTGCTCGATTTAGCAAAATTAAAGAAAGGGGACTCTGCTTAAAAAAAAATCGCGTCCCCAAAACTTGTTAAGCGTTAAAATTATAACGTAATAATAATAGGGGGACGCTAACATTTCTCAAAATTAGAAGGGGTATTCAGTCCCCCTGTGCCCCCCTCAAGTCAAGCACCACGTACGGGGGTTAATCAGACCCCCCAGACACGATCTGATGCAAATTCGTTCAAAACAAGAAACGGCATTTTAAAAACAAGTAGAACCACGTTCACCGTACAATCCAAACACGAATATTGAAATCTTGATTCATGTTTTGCTATGAAATTATTAACACTACGATTATCGATATAGTTTTCAACTTATAAGATGAATTTTACGAGTATTCAGTGTAGTCCGACCAACTATATTGCAGGGATATCCATCGGATAACTCTATCGGCGGACATTCGCTATCGTTTGACGGATACCACATGGTCGCGTTACAATAGGTACAAAATAATATATTCAGTTGTAAAATTCAGAAAAAGCAATAAAGAGCGTGTACACTGTGAACACTGTAAATAATGTGTACAAAACAATCGTGCTTACCTATAACGTAATGCCTGTAAGAATTATTGGTTTTGGCATTTTTTGCGTCATCCGTTTCTGGTGTGCAAGTGTAGTTTTTGCTATCAGCCGGTTCCAAGCCCAAAATCGACAGGTTAATCGTATTGTTTCCAATGATCGTGGAATCTATAAACGAAAATCACTTTGACATGACGTGTCTACGACAGCTAGTGCCGGATTACCCATTAGGCGGAGTAGACGCCCGCCTTAGAGCCTCACTCATTTAAGGGGCGACTGTTCAAATAATTCAAAATGTCTTACTGGTTTTGTGCTTGCCGGTTTCAAAATCCCATTTGTAAGCTTTTACGTCCGTACCATTGGTCAAACACCGTAGTTTCACGTCGCTTCCCAACAATTCATAGTGAATGGTGAAGTGATCTGGAGATAAAAAACGTTATTGACAAAATCGACAGGTTAATCGTATTGTTTCCAATGATCGTGGAAAGATAGAGTGGATGGAAGCTTGGTTGTGAGATGGGATGGTCTTAAAGGCCCAATAAACCCAAAAAAAAAAAAAAAATTTGACAAATCACAACAAGATTTTTTTTTCACAATGAATTTTGTTTTCACATTAGTTCAAAATAATTGTACACCATCGAGTGAACGGTTGCATAACAGCTACACCATAATGTATATGTATGTTTATGTGGTGGAATAATATAAAGCATACAATAATTATACACTGTACTAGTGAATTAATATGTTATTATTGGAAAGTATTTTTTTAAGGTTTCAAAAATTGTAAGCTAGATATATTAAAATATAATTAAAATTACGAATATTAAATTCGTGTTAAAAATAACATTAACTTTAGTAGTAATATATCAACTCATCAATTATAAGAAACTAAAGTAAAATGTTATACTTGATAATTTCAAAACCGGACAACCTCAACTATATCTGTACAGTGGCACCGAACCAAATTTTAAACAGTCTGGTTAATAACCGCCCATTTTACAACTTACAACCCACTCCATTCAACAACATATTTTAAAGGGTTAAGAGCTCAACCCCTCTCCAAAAATGCTTAACCTATTTTAGTATTTATAATAGCATTTGCGTTTCAAATAGTAATTATTAAATGGGTAGTATTATTATTTATAGCTAATTGAGTTAATTCATTTATTACTTGTATAGTAATCCACCATGGCAACCCTTAAAGCAGTAAAAATATGGTCCGGTCATAACCAGATTTTAACCCCGAGTTCGGCGCCACAGGTACAGTATACACTATAGAGAAGAAATCGATTTTACCGATTTTATGATTTTAGCATTTATTCATACTATTTCAGTACTTTTTCGATGGATTTAGGATAACACCCACTGTCCAATAATTTGTCCTAGCAATGTTACCAGGTGGTTTCAATAAAACATGGAACATCGCAATTTTTGTTAATTTTGCGTTAAAGTAACGCCTATGAGACTGTTAATGTTCCGCATGGCTGTCTTTCAATTAACGTCCTTTAAACATCACTCTAAAACATCCATTCATCGATCAATCGTAACATTATAGTATATTATCAAAAAAAAAGACAAAAATTATATAACCCTAGAGAGAGACCTACGGGTGTGATTCGAACTTTGTACCATGTAAATCTATTGACCTATATGGACCGAACCCTAACAACCTACCTACTTACTAACGTTACAAAGCGAAGTAAAATGAATGTTTATATACAATAAAATCAGAAATTCAATAATTTTAAAATGTATAAATAATAGCATTAATTATAAATACTTATATTTACAATTAATATTTATAAATCATTAGCAATAATAATAGCAATTATTTTAATATTTATTTTAAATACCTTCTTTATAAAATTTAATAATTTATCCTACCAAATTTTAAAGACTTGAATAATATGATTTTTGTTTAAAAAAGCTGATATTATCTAATTGGCCATGAGTAGTTTCAAAAATAGGAAAGTGATTGAAAATTTATTGAACTGTGAACGTTATACGTAAAAAATTGTGAACCATATAAAAAACTATAATCAGTAACAAATTTTTTAAGAAACTGTGATGCTTTATCATTATATTTTTGACAAGTTTCATGACACAATAAAATTCAAATTAATTCATACAACATTACAAAATTAAGTATTTTTAAATAACCTAATTTAGTATATTTGGATGACAAATTCGTGGAATCTTATCTCCTTTTTCATTATTATAAACACAGATAATGCCGACGCTCGTGGCGGCTATAACATACGAGTAGTTGAGTGTTAAAAAATATCGTTATTTTATAACAAGTATTGTGCCTATCACAAATGTTTCAAATATAACTTAAACCCGATATTGCTTGGATGTTGGAAACATTAAATGTTAAGTGGGCACCTGTTGTCGGTCGCTTAATAATAATTGACCGGGACATTCATAATGTCATTGAAACCATTGACCCATCGTCCGTGTAACACGAACAGTAGTTGTGAAAATAAATGCTTAGAAATGAAATTCGTAAAATTATCAACGGTGTAAGACGGTAGTGTAGGAAAAATAAACGGTCTTTTCTGGGTCGTGGTCAAAGGGCTCGTTGACCGAAAAAGTGTGCAACAACATCTTATCCGTATTTTGATGGAAAACCAATAGAACGATCTGCGTTCACACGTCTTGAGCGCGTTTTGGGAGGGAGGGGGCTGTTATATTATTTTTCTTTTAATCCGAAGCACGTGAATGACAAAGAGTAAAGGTGTCGCAAGGGCCACCCCTTTCGTGAGCGCACGGCCGAAACCAAACGGAACGATGAACGTTCGCGTCGCGCGCACTATTACCGTCCGCGGGCACGTCGAGCCGATAGCCGATCACTTCGACCGGTTCAACTTCGGCGCGCGCGGCGACAGCTCCTCGCGCCAGACTACCATCGTCTTCACTGGGCGGACGCGATTCGTCGGGCCGTGGCCGGTTCGCGTCGGCCGCGGGACGCACCACGAAAGCCGTGGGCACCGCTTTGTATGACTGGCAGTCGAACGCTCTCGCGGCCACCGGGTCGTTACCGGCCACCGCATCGTCCAACCTTTGCGCAATCCAGTCCAGGTAGTCGACCGTGTGGCACACGCACGGCCGCCGCTCGTCGCCCGTGGCCGTCGTGCACTCGTCCTCGGTGCCGAATACGATGCGGTCCGGTCCGGCAGTCGTGGCCGTCTCACCACCGCCGCCGCCGTTGTCGTCGGTCGCGTTAACACGACCGCCGGCTGCCACGTCTTCGGCGTCCACCGGACGGTCGGTCACGCGGTCTCGTGGGTGCTTGCGGTTCCGCCGGCACACGCCGAACAGGCCTCGGATCAGTTCGGACCGCCGCGGGTGGACGGCTGCGGCCGATTCGCCGCCGCCCGGAGCGCTCGCCGTCCACGTCGTACCATCACCGCCGGCAACGTCCTCTGAGCGCGTCGGGTCCGCCGTAGCTAACCAGCACAGCGCCGAGATCGTCAGCACGGGCACACGCATCGCCACGGCGTGATCGCGTCACGAACTGTTTTGATTTTCGATCGATGGTCGAGAGTCGAGAGAGAGAGATAGAGAGAGAGAGAGAGATAGAGAGGACAGAAATCGTTCGGTGCGAAATAAATACCGCGATACGATTCGGGTGCGATTGCCTTGGCAATTCAGTCAACACAACAATAACGTGCTGCCGCACAGATTGTAACCATCGTCCGTAGTCACGCGCGTAGGAATTACATTTTTTTTCTTTTGAATTTTCAAACTTTTCCGATGCAGAGAGCAAATAATTTAATTTAGATCAGACGGTGTCGAAAACACAAAAATTAAATCTCAACACCCAATATGATTATTATAAAACATTGATTTACATATTTTGCGGTTGATTTGTGTTGAGGAAAAGGTTAGTACTTGTCTTACGCGGTCTATCACACACTAGTTGTCTACCACGTATGTTTCTATATACGTCGTTTGCGATCTACCGCAATAATCGTGACTGTTATCGTCAGTGTTGCTATATCAAAATTATTGAAATCCTGTGGTAATTTTTAAAAATCCTCGGTTTTACTGATGACTCTACCAGTAAATCCTCAGAATTCCTGCAACCTTTTTTTTATCACGTCATAAGCAAATTAAAAAAATATATTAATTAAAATTTGGTGATAACTGATAAGTCATAGGTAATCATGCCGATTCTATGGTATGATTCTGTAGTGATACGGTATTATTATGACCATATTTAACTTAAAATGAAAAAATATGTTCCCTCATTTGATTTTAAAATAAAAGAGTATGTTTTATTTTATTTAACTACAATATTATATTAATATAAGTATTAAGCAAGGCTGGGCAAGTCAATTTACTTTTTTATTCAGTTAGATAAAAAAAAAATATTTATTAAATAATTTAACTATTAAATAAGTAGTATAGTATTTAGTAATAATGGTATCTTATCTTTATTTCGATAATATCAAGTCTGTTGGTATTCAATACAATACAAAAATAATTTGTGAAATGTGACTGAGTTTGACAGTTATAATCTGTTCTTCAGTCACACCGTGAATTTTAAGTTATCGTGTTCTGTTATTTTTCTGTAAATATGCCGAAAATTAAGCCAAAAATTTCCACTGTTTTAAAAAAATACGTATTAGAATTTGGCAGAATGTGAATCCGTACTTTTCTGTAAATTGTGCGAAACAAAAATAAATGCTGAACGGAGATACACAGTTACACACCATATTGAAATTGCAAAGCTTCGACGGGCGGTTAATCGACAAAATACCACCAAAACGTCTATATCGCAACTTCAGGTAACAACATTTACAAAAAAATCATCATTTCTAAAGACTTGTGTAAGACCATGTTATACGCCAATATTACATTACATAAAATCAATAACCCAGAATTTCGTTTATTTTTGGAAACGTATACGAATAGAGACATTCCAAATTAATCTACGTTACGCAAAAATTACGTAAATGAAGTGTACTCCGATACTTTAAATAAAATAAGAGACAATATACAGGAAAATAAAATTTGAGTCTCCAATTAATAATTTATTAATTATTATTATAAATTATTATTAAATGTAAAAAATATTTTTTTGGTAGAATTAAAATAAAACGTCTATAAATTGTAACGAAACGTTATTACTTTTTAGCGCAATTTTTAATATTTTAATTGCAATTTTCGGTATTTTTTAGTGCAATACTGCAATCAATTTTACTAGTTTTTTACTACTATAACATCCGTGCCCTAGTAATAACTAATAAGTATAGCTATGAATATAGATGCATATATTATGTACTTTGGGAGGTTAAAAAAGTAAAGAATTTCATGTAGTTTTTAAAAAAAAAATCTAGTATATGTATTACTGATAAAATAATTATATAAAATTTAATACTGTATCAATTGAAATGGTCATATTAAAATGTAAG